AGAGTGTAGGCCTTTGATCTCATTATCAGTATCACTCAGAACATCTCGGATATGAAAATTCTTCATCCCCTTCAGACATCTACTGAATTAGAAGTGCCAAGTAGGGGTCCAGCAAACTGTCTTTTAGCATACAGTCCAGGTTATTATGATGCCAGCTAAGATGTAAGAATCCCTGCTTTTGGATAAGGCAACTTGGATAAAAACCATATCATTGGGAACTAGGAAAATAGCCGAGTAAAGCAATGAATTTAGCATGCTACAAAAACAAGGCTTTTAGCAACAGGTCATTCCCAAGGAGAAATTCTGAGCTAGTAAATGGTGGTTAAATGGTTCAATTACTTACAAGTTTCAGTATTGACCTCTGAGCTGTCATTATTGTGTTTCTTTGATAAGTGTGATTTTTACCCACATGACAGCTTTGAGAATTCAGGTGTCATGTGTGACACGGCATTTGGAACCATTTTGGATGCTTTACTGATCTTACTTTCCAAAAACAAGTTGCTTGTCACTGGAAAGAAAATAGTATACATTTATATTTTGGATAGAATCAGGTGGGAAAAGATTGTGCAAACTCAGTTTTATCTACCTTTCACATGAAAAATAAAATTTTTTAAACAACAAACTTTCTACTTCTCACAAATAATTTAGTGTCATCTTTGAAAACTGTTTACTTCACTGATGAAAAAGAAATTACCAACCTACTTCATTACTTTAAAATAATATTCTTGATTGAACACACTAGAATAAAATGGACATCCTCCCTGGGGTGGGGGGGTACATGGGACATGGAGTATCCTTGTCAACAAAGTAAGCATCACTCCCATCACCCCTCCCACACACATAATACATTTCATCATAGAAATAAAACAGAAAACTTTCCATTTTTATTCTTTCTATTCAAAGACACAAAATGCTTTGCAACTGGAAAAGAAGATGATGGGCAGATCATTTTATTATTGGAACATATGACCAAAGCTGCCTACTGAGTGGCAAGAGTAGGTTTACAGTTGTTTGTATGAAAAAGAATATCATAATTAATAAATAGTAAAACAAGAATAGACTCTGTTTTTTGTGTACTCACAACTGTAAACCTATTTTTATGCCACTCTATATTATTAGACATGCCACAGGTAAATTAGATAACACAGTGACATTTTCTTTAATGGGCATCTAACAATGCCTGTAGGTGGCTAATAACTATGACACAGAAATGATGACAAAATTAGTAAAAATAGTCCACAAACTGTATAATAAGTTTAGTCTAGAAATATTATGTTGACCAGTCATATTTCCTTCCTGTGTGGATATGGAAAAAGTAGATATGGAATATAAATAACAATGGGATAAAATTTATGAAAAATTAGATAAAGCACACATATTAAGGGCATTTAATCTAGATTCAAAGTCAGAGAAGGATGCCTTGAGGAAGTGTTTGGTGACAATGACAGGGAGGGGGCAAGGAAGCCATATGTGAACAGTGTCTGAGTGTAATACAACACTGAGGCATAGGGAAGCACTTGAGATACAGCAGAGAGCTGGTGAAAGTGGAACCAAAATAAAAGTAGACATCAGTAGAAGCTAGTACTTGGTGCTTTTAAATACCATATTTGGGATTCCATTTAAAGAGCAATCGAAATCATGACATCATCAGCTTTACTTTTTAAATAGATTACACTGGCTTTACTATAAATGATAAGGAAGCAGAGGTGAGGCCTGTGTTGCAGAAAGTTGACCAATTTAATCAATTCTTGCATTATTCCAGGCAAAGATAATGGTAGGCTAGTCTAGGGTGGTGGCCAGGGGAACAGAGAAGTGAATGGATGTGAGCACTATTTAGGAGATATAATCAATGTGCTTTGGTGGTGGATGGAATGTGTGGAATAAAACCATGCCCATCAAGTCTCTGATTTGAGCCAGTATCTAGGACACTGATAATGCAGCAGGATTTGGGGGAGAGAGAATGAGGTTAATACTGAAAATTTTGCATTTATGCACACATGAATCATCCAAGCCAGTGGTTCTCAACCTTCTGGCCCTTTAATACAGTTCCTCATGTTGTGGTGACCCCCAACCATAAAATTATTTTCATTGCTACTTCATAACTGTAATGTTGCTACTGTTATGAATTGTAATGTAAATATCTGATAATCAGGATGGTCTTAGGCGACCCCTGTGAAAGGGTCGTTTGACCGCCAAAGGGGTCGCGACCCACAAATTGAGAACCACTGACTAAGCAGAGCTGAATAGAGGAAGAGAATTGACTGAGCGACACAGACAGCTGGGAGTCCCTGGCAAATGAATGGTGATTGAAGCCAGGGGAGTGGGTGAGGTTTCCCTGGAGCAGTTGGTGTAGTGCAAGAGGAAAGGGGGCCTAGGACAGCAGACAGCAGAGTTGGAGCCAACTAAGGTGACTAAAAGGAAGTTTCCAAAGAGGAAGGAGAAAAACAGTGGTGCATGGTAGCGGAGAAGCAAAGCAAAGAAAACGTTTTTGGTTGGAGCAGTCATAGCAGTGTCCAATGCAGCTGAGATGGCATATGAGATATGGGCTGAGGCAAGTTTATTGGTGACACAGGAGCAATTTCTGTGGAGTAGTGAAAGCAAAACCAGGTTGGTGGGAAGGAATAATCAAGAGAATAGAATAAGAGAAAGCAAAAGAGCATGGAAATCTATGTTCTATGATGAGAGATTGGAAACTCCCTCCATGGTAACAGACAATAGGAAGCTGATGGAGTTTCTGTCTGATAATATCTACTGTCTCTGGGAAGGAGGAGAGGCACTAGTCTATGAGAATGAAGGGAGAAGATGAAGAAAAAAGGGAGTTGAGGCAGTTATTTCAGAGAATGAAAAAATAATAGCCGACTGAAAAGCATAAAATTGCTGAACTGGGTAAAGGTTTAGACAAAGAAGGTGACTATAGTTTGTGGTGGTACCATTTTTAAAATATATGTATTTTTATTGATTTCAGAGAGGAAAGGAGAGGAAGAGAGAGATAGAAACATCAATGATGAGAGAGAATCATTGATTGGCTGCCTCCTGCAACCCCTCACCCCACTGGGGATCAAGCCTGCAACCTGGGCATGTGCCCTGACAGGAAATCAAACTGTGACCTCCAGGTTCATAGGTCAATGCTCAACCACTGAGCCACACCAGCTGGGCATGTGGTGGTACCAATTTGATTGCACATGTGATCTTTTCCATTGGGACTCAGCAGTATTTTAAGTGTCCAGGAAGACACAGCAGGTCGTCAGGTTACATCGGAGACCCGTTCTTACGGAGTGACTAGTTTATTAGTGTAAACTAATAGTGGCAGTGGTAATGGGGAAGTGGGGACAGACTGGGGTAATATGAAAGGGAATGGAGCTGAAGTAAGTGGATGTAATGCGATTTTCACTGTAAGTTGGAACCCACCTACATAAGCACCTACGTCACTCACATGGAGCACATACATAGCAGTAATGAAGTGAAACAGTAAAAGAAATTTAAAAGAAATATAACAGTTCCTGACCTTTCCTTGTGGTAAATAAATAATAAAAAACATAAAGCACATATGTACATATGTCAAAATGACAAAACTTTTTTTTTTATAAATACTGTAAAAGGGAGATGGTTACATAACCATGAAAAGATGTACATCGAGTCCAATGTAACCCGAGGACTGCCTGTAGTCATCACTGAATAGCAGTGTGACCTTGGGCAAGTCACTCTCTGTCTCCCTTTCCTCAGATGTATTCTGGGAACAATAAGAGTACCCACCTTATTGCATTTGTTGAGGATTATAATGGAGTTAATACACAGGACAGTTTTGAGAATAGTTAGCATATAATATACACTCTGCAAGTATTAGCTTTGGGATTTTGGCAGACATGGGATGATAGGAGCAAAGGAAAGGGAGAAAATAATAAGAGAGTGGTTGAAATTGTAGACTGAGGGGTTACACTAGAGAACAAAGGAAGTAAAGTCATTGATTATGAAAATCACTAGATGATTTTTGTATTTACTGAATGTCCTCCTGGTATGAACTGCTGGCCTTAGTATGCTAGTATTTTTGACAGAATTTAAGTGCTGATGGAAAAGGAATAATATTACTGTGCTCTCTCATGCCAGTTTCTATTCTGCCCTTTGGCTGTGGTACCCGTTACATAAGGAATTTACATTAAAAAGATGTTGTATTGTGTGTGTGTGTGTGTGTGTGTGTGTGTGTGTGTGTGTGTTTAGCTTGAAGCAAATCCTGCATGTGTCCCTTCATGTTCTGAATTCATATGAAATGGGAGAGTTCTTAAAATGAGAAAAAAAATGATAACAAGCAATATTAAGGGAATCCCCTCAAGTTAAGGCAATTTTGTTTAAAGGCTATACATTTGCCAACAGTTTATGTTCTTTTCCTTGAGGTCTGCAATGCAATTTAAGACAGAAAACAATCATTTTGGCCCAAACTTGAATTGCTGCAGAATAAATAACCTCCAGACCTAAACTTTAAAAGGAACTTCCTGCATCACTGATGGGCTGAGACACTCAGAGGTGCTATTTTGTTTCTGGGAATGCATTTCATATGGTCATTCAGACTGAAGTTTTATATGGTAAACATATGACATTGAGATCTCTGAAAACAGGAAAATAGTTTCATGCACTAACAAGCAAGTAAATAAAGTACAATTATAGACCAGGGCCTGGCCCCTGGGGAACCTAGAAATCTTGAGTTTATTCTTGCCTGTGCAAGTGATTTTTCCATGAAATTAGAGGGAACATCTAGAGGTAGACAGGGTGCAGAGAAAAGAGATCAGGGTAATTCATCTTAAGTGCAAATACTGCCATTCTTATGTCAAGGATATTCCTGAATCTGCTGCCTTCCCATATTGACAATTGGCAGACTTCAATTATTAAGAATAACTTATTTATACATTCATTCAAAAGCATTTATTGAAGACTTCTTATGTACCAGAGACTGTGTAAATCTCTAGAAATAGAGTGAAAACAAGATACATTCTCAGCTCTCAATGGGCTTATACTTTAGCAGAAACGAGGGAGGTGCAAAGTTAGAAATAGGATTTTATAGGAGAATGTAGGAGGTGATCTAATCAAAACCGGGAAAGAGGAAAGCTGCTGACACACATGAAGACTGAGTAGATCTTGTGGAGTGAAGCTATTTTGGTGATAGTGGTAGGTGGGAAGGTAGTAGCATGAGCAAAGAAGGGGTTATAGCCCATTGGGGAAAATGTAAGAAATTTTATGTAGCTGGAGCGAAAAGTCCCAGGAAGAATGAAGGGAGCTGAAGCTGGAGGAGTTGGAAGGGCAGTGGCTAGGGTCTGGAAGACCTTGTAAGTTATGCTATTTGAATATAATATACTTTACTGTTTGTTATAGCACAGGGGGGACACTAAAGGACTTTTAAGTGACGAAGTGGTATAATCATATTTGTGCTTTACCAGGTCACTACTGCTGCTGTTTAGGGTGGGAAGGCCCCCGGACTAGGGGAGGCAAAGAATAGCAATTCCTCTAGAAAGGAAATGGGGAAGGCCCACATGGAAATAGTGGCAGTGGGAATGGGGAAGTGGGGACAGGCTGGGGTAATATGAAAGGGAATGGAGCTGAAGTAAGTGGATGTAAATGGTATGGAAAGAGGAAGGAAGTAAAATGATGTCCATATTTCTTGCTTTTGTGTTGGGTGGTAGGTGGTTTCTTTCATGGAGAGGAGACATATAGGATAGTCAAGTTTAGGTGGAAAGTCCAGAATGAGTTTTAACTGTCTTTGGCTTATAGCCAGTGGAAAGCTTAAAGTGATTAGATAGAATAGTTGAGATCTCAGGGGAGATATTTGCACTGGAAGCATCGATTTAGAAGTCTTCAGGATACAGATGATGATTGAATCCATGAAAGTGGCTTCCTAGGAAAAGAAAAAATAAATAATTGGAAGGTTACTATTGATGGAACCCTGAGGGACTACCGTTTAAGTCCTGAGTAGAGAAATGGACACCTGAGAAGGGGTTGTGAATAAGTGTATATTGAGGTGGGAGTAAAATGAAGCTACAGAAGTCAGTGGAGAGGAAGGTTTCGGTAAGGAGTCAAATGCTGTGGGATGTTGAATAAAAGAAAAGTTGAACATATCCTTTGACCTTAGTATCCAGCAGGCAAAAAGCAAAAACATCTTCCATGTCATGGTGGGGATGAGGCTTGACTTCAGTGGGTTTAAATGATGTGTGGAAAAACTATGTAAGCTACATATTCAAGAAACCGTGTTTTAGACTCACAGATACAGAGAACAGACTGGTGGTTGCCAGAGGGGAGGGAAGTTGTGGGACTGGATGCAAAGGGTGAAGGGATTGAGAAGTACAGATTAGTAGCTACAAAATAGTCACAGGAATGTCAAGTACAGCATAGGAAATAGAGTCAATAATGTTGTAATAACTATGTATGGTGCCAGGTACGTACTGGAAATATCAGGGGGAGCACTTTGTAAAGCAGAGGATTGGCTAATCACTATGCTGAACACCTGAAACTAATATAAAATGATATTGAATATAAACTGTAATAGAAATATAAAAAAGAAAAGAAAAAAAGAAACCTTTTTGTGAAGAGAGGATGAGATGTAGTAGGGCTAAGTGATAAGAGAAGTTACTGGCCTGGAATGTATTCCTTGAACTTCAGAGGCCCTTATTTTAATTTGTAAGATCAGGGAGATGAATGTATCTATTTTCTAAGAGGAAAGAACCCATAATGAAGGAAAAATTGCAGATCTGGAGAAGATTCTGGGTGTTTGTGCAGGGAATGTATTCTAGGACTTGCTAACCCAAGGGTCATGATCTCAGGGCCTTGGCATCACCAGGGAGCTTGTTAGAAATGAGCAATGTTGGGCCCACCCAGATTTGCTGCACCTGAATCTGCCTTTTCACAAGAAAGAAAATTCTCCTGCAATATTATGATAAGGAAGATATAAAGATAATGTTTCTTGATGTTGGCAAGGAAGGGGGTTAAAATCATGCTATCCCATTTTGTTGTGAAGGAATAAAGTGACCTACTGAGAATGAGAAGGGGTAAGTGCATGTGGTAAAAGAGAACCAGATCTTGAGCCTGGAGTAGGTGGGCTGAGAGCTTGACCAAGACAAAACCCTGGACTTTGCTGTGGTATACAGCTGAGTGCTGTGTAGATGTCTCCAACAACCTAGGGCTGGTATTGATGTAGGTTTGGGGTTTTGCTATGCAAATTGGTGTTGGAAAGAAAGAGGGTGAATTAATGAACCAGAGGGTCTAGGTTGACAAGGGAAGTCAATAAAAATCAATGAGAACTGATAGCTTGGAAGGAAATGGGGTCAATCATAGTCATTAATAGAAATGAGAAATATTACACTGCCAGCAACAGTGGTTGCTTGTCCCAAAAAGAGCTATTCCTTCTCACTGATGGTCTCTTTGTTTATGTGTTTTACAAATAACCCATCTAAAACATTCATTATTCTTTTCCCTTCCTGGTCATCTATCCAACTTGAGTCTAGGCTGCTCTAGGCAATGAAATTGCCCATTCAGATAGCTTCCTCATTATAAAATCTACAGCTTCTCAGTTCTTTAAATGGAAATAAGAAGACTTGTAAAATTGGAGTGATATCAGAATTATGTTCTTTCTTTTCTTGAATGCCCTTTATTTTCTTTATAACCATTCATAAAATTTACACTTGAAGAATGTTATTAATGCTACACTGATCTCCCCTCAAATGTTCTTTCTTTAACTTTTGAACCTCAAAGTACTTTGTTCCTCCCTTATAACACTCTATATATTAACAGTTTTATCCCTCTAGGAGACTGTAAAATCTTTAATAGCAGGAGTTGTCTTGCTAATTTTTGTTGCAGGGCTGGACAAAGAGAGGAGGTCTTGTAGCCGAATCACTGGTTTCAGGAATGGGGTAGATTATGCTAGAGATGGCGTAGGAGGGCCTACCAGAAGGTTATGAAAGGCCTTTGTACCCAAATTAGATGTTTGGGTTTTAACCTAAAATGAGAATCCACTGAAAAGTTTAAAGTAGGGAAGTGACATGATGTTAATGTTTCTGAAGGCTCATTCTGTCTAGAGTGTGGAAGATTCAACAGACGTGTGCAAGATGAGAGGCAAGGATATGAGTTACAAAGCCATTATGATGGTCCATGTGAGAGACAAGAGTCTGAAAGAAGGCCTAACTTTGGGTCTGGACAGGAAAATTCTCATTTCATGCATGGTAAGATTTAATAACATTGGATGCAGGGGATGAGGCAGGAGAAGAAGCCCATAGCTTGTGTCTGGTTTCTGGATTAGGTGACAGAGGTGGTGCCATTCACTGAAATGGACAGAGAGAGAAGCAGGTTCAGGGCAGAGAGAAGGATGGTGATGATATGTGGAGGATGGGGAGTGATGAGTTCAATTTTAGACATTTAAAATATTTTACTTATGGTAATAAATGCTGGTTGAATACATTAGCATAAAATGAATGTGAGACTGTGTTTTGAACTTTCAAGAGCCAAGGCTGAAATGGAAAATATTATTAAAAATATTTACACTTATTTCCCCAAGGTGGAATTTATAAACCACTCCTATTGCCAACACTGTAGTGGGAAAGCAAAGCATCTGGTTGAAACTCCACTGACCTTTAGATACACCCAAGTTTTCATACGATGCTCATTTCCATTCCAAATGGCACTGCACAGCGTTAGGGATTGTACTTTCTGGAGCGTTTGAGCAATAAAGAGGATTTGTGCTGCATTTGCATTTCACATGCAGATTGCCAAGCCAAAATCTTTAAAGCCAAAAAGTTGGTTCCAAACACTGACCTAGGCACTTTTTTAAATGTATCTGAGTTTGTCCCTTCTCTGCATTAGAAAGATGCTAGGAGGTCAAGTCCTTGATCCAGCTCAGTGTTTGTCTCTGGGCCTTAGCAGAGGCATCTAGATAGGGCGATAGTAAGGCATCAAGGATGGCATGCTTAAGAATCAAGAAGAAGATCCAAGAAATATTCCCTTTAATTCCTCAATTTTTATAACATAAATATATGGTTAGGCCAATTTTTTCATGAAGTCTGTTTGCCGGAGCATAACAATGTTCTCCTCATTTTTTTTTTCATCCATGATTCTTCATTGCTTTAGAGGAGAAATAACGTCCTAAATAAATGGAGCTGCTAGTGTTGGGTCCTCTTTGGTATGCCTACCTGTGGTATAGTGCATAGTGGCCTCCCTGCAACATCACACCTTAATTCCTGGAGCCTGTGAACACGTTAACTTTACATGTTCAAAGAGAGTTTGCAGATATGATTATGGGAAAGAGTTTGAGATGTGAATATTATCATGGATTATCTAGGGGGTTCAATGTATGAGTCCTTATAAGAGGGAAGCAGGAGAAAATGTGATGAAGAAAGCAAGAGGTTGGAGGGATGAGAGAAAGGGGTCATGAACCAAGCAATGCCAGTGGCTTTTAGAAGCTAGAAAATACAAGGACATGGATTCTCCCTTCAAGCCCCTAGAAGGAGTTCAGCAGCCCAACCTACACCTGGACTTTAGACTTGTGACCTATAGAAGTTTGCACAAATCAATTTGTGTTAAGCCAGGAAGCTTTTGCTAATTTGTTATAGAAGCTGTAGACTTGAGTCAACTTGTAGATGATGCTAAATAAGAATGGGTAAGTTTAGACATAAACAGAATTTCCCAATGGATTTTAAAAGAATTTAAAACTACATATTGATTACTGTTATTAATGCTCTTAAAAAGAATTTCTGGAGGGGTAACGGTTTGGTCCAAATAGAGAAGACTAACAAGCCTAGACACCAAAAAATCAAAATACTTGTTATCATGGTAGCCGCTTGACAAATTATGGTAACAACTTGGTTGGATTTGACTGAAGGATTTGTGGTTTACCCTTAACTGCTTTATGTACTAAATAAAATAAAATCAAGAGTTCTGTAATGTTCTCAGAGCAGTACCATCATCCATTCGATTTGGTTGAATTCCCTGCTCATATTTGAATTTGTAGGCAGCATTTTTGAGTGTTTATATCCTGCAGGGAAAACATGAAAATGTATTTATAAATTGTAAGTCCTGGTTTGTACTGTTCATTTTTCAGAAATCAAAAGTACATCACCTCTGCCAACATGCAGTTTTTAAAAAATGCCCATGCAGATCCTAGAGAATATTGGCATATGTTTAAAAAACCTGTGTAAATTTTAAGCTTTTAAATTGCACACCTTGTGTTGTCAAGCAGTGATGGAGCACCCATAGCACAGGGGAGACAGTGAGTCACATGGCTCAGCAGAACTAATGAGAGTTCTGAGTAGTAAGAGTGAATCATTGTTCTGCTAGTTGTACTACTGGCAAAGAGACCACGACAGGAAAACATCCATGAGTCATATGATTTTTTAGATTCAATGACAACCCTAGAATTACATCGGCATTGCTTCCAAATTGGGAAGACATTTGAAGAAAGCAACATTTACATTAACTGGTGCAACTCAGTGTGAAACCTAAATCAATGGAAAAAGCTGGAAGAAGAAATAAATAAAAAAATTCTCATGCATCCAGAAGAGAAAAATCGTGTATTGATGGACTTAACTAACAAGCTCTGCTCAGTGCCTATGGTATACAATGCAATGTACTTTTTCAGAAAAATGATTGGCTTCCAACTATTAGTATGGGAGAATGGTCATACTAAGCTGAGAACTAATGAGGTCTTGGCAAGACTTTTCCACTGAAACCCAGGTACTGAGACAATGGGCTTTTACTTATTTGCTTCCCATAAAATCTCTGTACTTTCTGGTACCTGTGACATTGAATGCACTCAATCACGTTAATGATTGAGTCCTGTTACTAGAGGAGAAAGCTAGATAGAATTTTGCTGAGTTTTACTCTGTGATGTTTGCTAAGTGAGAGCTGCTCAAT